ATTGGGTGGCTTAAACAACATTTAATTCTCACAGTCATAGAGGCTGGAAAGTCCAAGATCAATGCACCAGCAGATTTGATGTCTGATGAGGGCCTGCTTCCTAGTTCATAGATGGCCATCTTCTTCCTGCATCCTCCTGGCAGAAGGGGTGAGAGAGTTCACTGGGGTCTCTTTTATAACGGCACTAATCCCTTTCATGTTGGCCCCACCCTCATGACCTTATTATGTCCCAAAGGCCCTGCCGCCTAATACCAACATAGATTTCAACACATCAATGTGGGCAGGAGTTGGGGGCAAGGGGGGGAGAGACAGCATTCATTCTATAGCAGCAGATCAGGATATCTTGTCTTGACTCTACAATGTATAAGTCTTCAGCTTGGACGACTCAAAGACTAGGGGTGACTTGACAGCTGGAATCTGGAATCATTTGGCTAGAATCATCACTCACATGTCTAATACTGGTCTAAGATAATTCAAAAAGTATGACTCCTCACTAGAGTACCTACCTGTGGCCTCTCCATGGCTTTAGCTCCTCACAGCACAGTAACCTCAGAGTAACTGGATTTCTTACTTGGTGGCTCAGGGGTCCATGCATGAATATTCCAGGAAACAAGACAGAGTGGCAACACTTCTTATGACCAGCCTCAGAAATCATGTAGTGTCATTTTCATGATGCTCTATTGATTGAAATAATTAAAGCCCAACCAGATTTAAGTGAGAGGGGGGAGTACTTCTTGATGGATAAGTGCCAAGCTGATGTTATAGAAGAGTATGTGAGTGAGGAAGAATACTTATGGGTATCTTTAGAAAGTACAAGCTGACACAATCCCTGCAAAGTTAGACATGGCCATATGTCATGCTCAGGCCAGTAAAATGTTGTCAGAAGTGATACAATTTAATTGCTGATGATTGACTCTCCAGCCCACTTTTCCCTGCTGTGAAAATTATAGAAGCAAGTGTTGATATGGGGATGCCATCAAGTCAAAGCTGCATGAAATGCTGAGCCAGGACATCTATCCTAGTGAGTCATCTGAACCCACAGAAGATTCCACATAATTAAGAAATAAATTGTTTTGTATTAAGCTATTAAGATTTTGGATTGCTTGCTATTGCAGCATATCCCAGCCTAGCTAATGCACTCCAAAACTCAAGTAACAGGAAGAAGAGTGTGAAATGTATGCAGCCTCCTCAGACAAGGACAAGTAGAATAACTGACAAGACAAACATCCCGCAGAGCAAAGTCAAGGATTCACATATAAATATGTGTGTGTGTGTGTGTATATATATATATATATTAAATAACCCACTTAAAAGAGTTGCAGTAAGCATGACTCTTTGCCCTTTAATACTTCACTCTGCATCTTTCCAAATAAACACAAGTACATTCTCCTACATAACCACAATACTAGTATTATATCCAAGGGATTTAACATTGTTACAATAATATAAAGTTCATATTCAATTTTCCCAATTGTTTCAAAAGTCTTTTCAAGTTGTTTCATTTTTGCTTTGTTTATAATCTAGGATCCAGTCAAGAGTCATGTATTACATTTTATTGTGATCCTTTTTAGTCTTCTTCAATCTTGAACAATATCATCCTCCACCTTTGTTTTTTTTTTCTTTAAAGAAGACAAACTATCTTTTGATATTCCAGAAGACTCTGTGTTAATTGTCTGTAGATGTGCCACAATCTGGGTTTATTTGATTGTTTCCCTATAATTATACTCAAGTTAAACATCTTTGGCAAGAATACTACATAGATTACACTAATAGACTGTTTCCTGGGCACGTAGAAATCCAGATTATTTTGCTCCATCCTATTCCCTGTAATATGGATGTCACCATCTTAAGCCATAAGAGGAAAAGGAGTCTTGATGGACTGAAATGAGACCAGATTCCTGAGGACTTCTTGGACCAGAGCAGCCATATTGGACTGAAGTTCAAAACTTCAGACATATAATTAAGAGATAAATTTTCGTCTTGTTTGAGCCACTGGTATTTCCATTACTTTCAGCCAAACCAAATAACAGGAGCACATACAAAGGAATTAGGAGGAAACTAGGCAGAAAACCTAGTATAAGTAAATCTGAATTTATTGCTCAAACCAGCTTGAGTTTGGGGCTTGTTGTTGTAATGGTTGTTATATGTCTTGAAAACATCCTATCTGACACACAGGCTTTATCACAACTATAAAAATGTTTAAGAACATAGAAGAAACAAGTCAAACAGCAAATCCAAATGATGACAATGCAAAGAAAGCTCTTGTGTAATCAATGAAAAAAAATCAAAGCAAGAAAAAGTAGGGACAATTTTTCAAGAAAATGATATTTACCAGCTCACTAAAGTTAAAAATATGTTTATTCTCTTTTATATTCTTAGTTCTCTGTAAAATGACTGAACTAAACAAAGGACTCTATGAATGGTTATCAAATAAGCTGATTACTAAATTATATCCATATCAATAAGACGGGTAAAATTGCATCACTACCTTTTGTAGAAGTACCAGGACATCTACAGCAATGGAAAGAAGAAAACCAAGAGAAAGGACAAGAAAATAAAAATGGTCGAACCAGAGATATTATGAAAGAGCCAAGAGAAATCAACAGCCCTGAACATTTTCTCTGGAATGCTCTTGACAGGTCATCCTATACTTCTTGTACTCTAAGAAACAGACTCCAAAATAACTGATTAATTAGTTATATGAAGAGCTCTCCCCACTGGAAAGCCAAATATGCTTGGAGACTCAGGTCCTCAGAGACCTTAAAGAGAAGCCAAACCTAAGAGTACCTTTCTCATGAGGATCTCCTGTGTAGAGAAAGGAGAAAATAAGTCATCAAAGGCTGTCTGCCTTTATCACCAGTTATTTCTCCAATTAGAAATACACTATTCAGATGATATCCCCTGGAAAACACTGAAAGAGCCCCCGACATGGAATAAACAGAGGATTCTCCAACTGCAAAAATATATCAGTATGTGGGCTTGTATTTCCAATGTATATTCTTGAACATGATTATATTTTTGTACAGAATTTGGATTTATGTATCTATTTAAATATATCTTTGGGTGTTTATATTTTTATGCTAAATGTGTTTTGACATTCACTGTTGTTTGTAATTATGTTTGCATGTATATACAATACATGGTTTATTTGTGACCTTAGATGAATATGGTATCTGGGATATTGGGTTAACCTTCTGTGGTAGTATTTAGAAATGTAAGTTAGTGTGAATTTGTGGAGTTCAGGTGTGGTCTGGGGATTTGCATAAGTGCAATAATATAGGAGTGTGAAGTCCGAGAGGCTGTAAGATGCAGAAATAAGCAATTTAGGAAGGTCTTAACTTCTTCCTGAGTATTTTTTGAAACTAGAGAGATCCACACTCCTCTGGATAACTGAACTGCTTAATCGCCTACAGAAGCTTGAAAGAGATCATCTCTCAAATTTCTTCCCTCTCCCTTGAAAACTATGACACTTATCTGATGGTAAAATGATAGAGACAGAAGAGAGGCTGAGTGGATCTGGAAACTAAAGAAAGAACTGAAAAAAAAAGACAAATAGAGGTGAAGAGGTGAAAAGTGGGTGAGAGAGGAGGCAAGTTGAGAGGAAAGGAGAGAGAAACGTGTGGAAGAAGGAACAAAAAAAAAAAAAAAACAGAAATAGAAGGACTCAAGAGGGAGAAGGACAAGGAAGGAATTCCCCTTGGATTGGAATGGGATTTTTCATGCCCTGGACATGGAACACGTTTTAGGTTTGAGCAGGAAAACTTCTGCTGCAGGGGAAAATTCTGCCCCAGTCCTGCGGGAAAGATGGCAAAGGGAGAAAAAGGTAAAGAGGCGTCTAGAATGATCGAACCCTCAGCCCAGGAGAAAATGAAAACAGAGCTCAATGTGTCCTTCTGAAAGGTGGCACCATCAAGAAGAGGGCGAGTGGGGCAGCCAGGCTCAGAGGGACAAATACTCACCCGGGATTCCCAGAGCGAGTCAGGGAGGAACGTGGCCTCGAGCCGGGCTGCCTCGTTTCAAAGGCCCTGATATTCTGAAAGAAAGGGCGTTCCAGCTCCGAGCCGGTGCAGAAGGAGGTCGTCGTCGCCCACGTCACAGCTCCACGGTTGCTGCTTTTCCTTGCCGTTCCTTTCGTCCTCCAGTAGAAAGGGCTGTGGCAGATGAGCACCGACGCCTCCGCGGTGACCCAGTCCCTCCTCCCCCGGGGGCTTGCTCCTCGCGCTCTTTCTCGCCGGCGACCTGCTCACCGTGGCCGGCGACCTCCTCGCCGTGGTGCTGGTCTCAGCCGACGCTGCCCTGCGGTCCCCCATGTACTTCTTCCTGCGAACCCTCTGGGCCCTGGAGATGGGCTGCACGTCCGTCACGGTCCCCCTGCTGCTGCGCCACCTGCTCGCTCTGGCTGCGCCCTCCGGATGTTCTTCTTTCTCTTTTTCGGTGCCACGGAGTGTTGCCTCCTGGCAGCCATGGCCTACGACCGCGACGCGGCCATCTGCAGCCCCTCCGCTACCCGGTGCAGCTGCACCGCCGCGTGTGTCTGCAGCTGGCTGGGCCGGCCCGGGTGTGCGAGGACACCTCGCTCAATGAACTGCAGATCATCCTGGGCTCCTACGGGCGGATTCCGTCTGCTGCGGCCACCGCGAGGCCTTCTCCACGTGCTCCTCCCACCTGGTCGTGGTCTCGCTCTTCTATGGCACCGCCATCTTTATCTATATTCGCCCTAAGGCCAGCTACGATCCGGCCACTGACCCTCTGCTGTCCCTCTTCTATGCTGTGATCACCCCTATACTCAGTCCCATCATCTATAGCCTACAGAACACTGACGTCAAGGCTGCCCTAAAGAGAACCATCTAGAAAATGCGGCCTGCAGATTCAAAAATGGGCTGGTGATGGTGGCTGCCATACACCACTCCCAGTCAGCCCCAAGTCACCAAGGATCAGAGGGAGGGGAGACATGGGCCTCACCTTAGGGGATGACCACGGTGGCAAGAAGACAGACTTACCTTCTAAGAGCTGCTGGAGCTAAACCTCTCCGCAGACCCCCACAGCATTCACACACTCTGTTCTGACATCTCTTTCAAGAAACAAGAGACCTGCAATGGAGAATCAAGGTTATGAGCAGAGCAAGTTGACAACTAGGGGAAACAACAAAATATCAACCCCACCAGACTATCCAGGTAATAAAATTTTCATCCACAGTAATAATTCTTAGTCATTTGACATTTGTGCATCCTAGGTAAGGCACTTGTTTCCTGGCTGGTACTACTGGCTAGTACTTTAGCATGCCAATTATTTTTTAATTACCACCTAACTAAATCTATCACCAGGCAAAAAGAAATTTCCTGAAGAAGTGAGAAGGTGCCAGAAAAGTTTCAATGAAGGCAAGTTCTTATGGAAATCAGTATGACACAGTGGTTAAGAGAATAGATTTTGATGTCAGACAGACTTAATTCATGTCTTAATTTTTTCAGCTGATTAGCTGTGTGATCACAGGTGAATGATGTGATTTCCTTATTCACAAAGTTAAGATAACAACAGAGCTACTTCTTTAGGTTTTTATAAGGATTCACAGACTTATAAGTCACCAAGCTTAGTATCTGGCACAAAATAGTGTCTCAATAAATGTTTTTATTAGTGAGTCAGACAGGGCAGCAGAGAGGATAATGTCTAGCTCACACCGGATGGCTTTGTTGGGGGAGAGAATGATATTCTTGAAGTGTCAGTGGCTTTGGAACACAAAGGAAGGTAGAGGGAGAGACTCCACACATCACTGCTGCAGGAAACTGACATCCAGCACAAAATGTAAACCAAACCAACCAGGACACCAAAGAGTGAATATAACAGCATGCACGAGAGTAAATAACCTGCAGAACAAATAAATGAGATATTAATGAGGATAAATAAGAAAAAGACTTCCCCAAGAGGCAAGTATTCATCAATAATTTAAAATATACTCCACATACTTCTTATTATTCCCAACACTATTCAATTTTGTCAGCATTTATTGAGGACTTTCTATGTGTCCATTGCTCTGCTTGACACTGTGGTGAATACCATGTAAACGTGGGGTGATGGTTTTCCCCGGATAGTGCTTGCTGTCTGGTTGGAGAAAAAACACTGATTCCCATGAAACTGTCAGAGAACCATATAAAGTAAGGAAATGTCAAAACGCTAAAGTAAGGAGACAAGTGATTTCTCACCCACCAGAGGAGCAGTAAGGCCTTCCCTATACTCATTTTATCAATGAATAAAATCTCAAAACTGCTACCTTTCAGTACTCACCAAAACTTCAATGGAGAGGAACAGCATTTAGGAACGATTGCCTAAAGAACTGTCAAAACAGCTTTTCCTCTGATAACCTAAAAGCTTACCCCATGCTAAAGCAGACTAAAAGAGAGCTGCACACTTAAAATGCATTATTCTCCACCTCCTACTTATCTCCTGCTACCCCCCCATCCTTCATACAACTGTTCTTGCTAAAATGTGCCTTGGCATTCTGCCATTGATCTACACTGAGGAAGGTTACAAGAAGCAGCATTATGAACTCTCAGAGGAAAAATTTCTCTCCTATCTCAGTGATAGGAATAACTGCACTTTTCCTGTCATATAAGCAATAACTTTCTCACTGTTTTATGGAGGTATAATTGACATATAAGAAATTTCACTTTTAATTTTACAATTTGATAAGTTCTGATGTACGTATACATGGTGAGACCATCAACACAATCATGAAATAAACATATCCACCCCTCCAAAGGTTTTTTTCATGCCTCATTGCAATTTCACCCTTCCACCTCTTCCTACATTCCTCATCCCCAAGAAACCTCTGATCTGCTTTCTGTCACTATAGATTAATTTGCCTTTCTAGAGTTTTATATATAAATGGGATCATAAAATATATAGTCTTTTTGGTCTGATTTCTTTCATTCATAATTATTAATTATTCATAATTATTTTGACATTCATCTGTGCTGTGTGTATAATAGCTCATTCCTTTTAATTTCTGAGTGATATCCCATTGTATGGATATTTCATATTTTGTTTATCCATTCACCTGCTGATGGAAATTTGGATTGTTTCCTGTTTGGGGTTTTTACAAATAAAACTTCTATGAACATTTGTGTATAAGTCTGTGTGTGCTCTCATTTCTCTTGGGTAACTATGTAGATGTGGAATGACTTATCATATGAAAAGTATACGTTTAAGTTTTTAAGAAACAAAGTAATCCCCTTCCCTCTTTGCATGACAATTAGTAAATTTACACCTGAATTTGTAACTTATTCCCAGGAAATGTGCAAATCTCCACAATATACATTTGAAATACTCACCTGATTTCTGGCTTCACCTTATTTATTCTATTCCACTTTTTTCTTTGTCCACTCTCCTTCATCCTTATTTTTTGTGTATTTATGTAAGGCATGTTAAAGTCTTTCTGGAATAAGATTTAGAGCCCTCAGCAAGCAAAAAAACAAACAAACAAAAAACAAAAAAACTGAGGACCTGGGTTATGATCTCCGCTCTGTTACTAAAACTTAATGTGACCTAGAGTAAACTCCTTTCATCACCTCTCTGGTTTCCAGCTTCATCATCAATCACCAGTAAAGCTGCATATTTGAGCTCTGTGTGGTGTTCCAGCTCCACAATTCTTTGCTTGTTTCCCCAAGGACCCTCTGCTTCTTGAAGCTAATTCTCTCACAAAGAACCAAAAAGGAAACTGTGGTGAATGTTCTACTTCCACCATTGCTACCAAAAGATCTTGGACTACATTAATCCTGGCCAAATGTAAGTACACTCACTTGCTTGCCATGGCAAACACCATTCAAAATAGGTAGCAAGTTTCTAAACTCAGAACTATAACCCCAGACCCCAAAGAATTCAAGCAGACAGTTTCTGTTTCTTTTATTCACATAAAGATTTCCAGCAGAGAACAGATATGCATGTGCTTGTCCATAGAGAAGGAACAGACACAGGGAGGAGCCACTTATTGGAGGGATACTTGGGTGGGCCAGATCCACCTTCCCTCAAGGTTGAGGGACCAAGAGATCAGATGACACCTGATTCCAAATTCCCGTGTGCTTTCTGCCCCACCTCTCTGATGAAACTCATCATATCTATGAGCTGTATCTAAGCAGCCAGCATCTGATCTAGAAAATATCATCTGAGGTTGAAGTGTTTCAGATAAGGCCATCAGCTCAGTGCCTGGGTGAGATCTCCCCACAAAGGGAAACATTAGTCAGCATTATGGCACTGTTAGGAGATGGTCTGCTAAAAACATGGTAGGTTTCCAAACCAGGCATATGTACCAGAAACATTAACGCAACGGCCTGATAAGGTGCCTAAAATTCCACTCTTAAAGAGCCATAAAAGATCCTCCCTCTGGGTCACAGATAATTTTTTACCTTAGGAATTTCTAAAAACATTGATTACCTGAGCCATTTATCATTTACAGCTTAGGGGGAAGAGGTCTAGAGGCAAAACTTCACAGGGCTTGGACCCCAGACACGTGGAGAGGGAATGGTGAGAGGCAGGGAAAAAGAAAAAAGGAAAGGTCCTGAAAGATGGTAAGCTGGCCAAGTCTGAATTTGGCCATTTCCCAGTTGTCCTCCAGTCAACAAAACAACTCCTCTTGAGTAAGCAGGACCTCACCTCCACTCTCATTTCCTAAGACTTTTCTGAGCTTCCCTGATGACCTACAGGGACGAAAGGCAATTTTACAGATCGCCACCTAGTGGCTAGGGAACATGTGACAGACCATCCATCTCTTCAGTACATTTTGTACAGACTACAACACTGTGAACACCTTTTATTTGGAGTGGGGTGGGAAACTGCCCCGGTGGAGATGGGAATTTAAAACTGTTGACCTGTCGTTACACTAGGCCAGTGGTTCTCAGAATGCAATCCCTGACCAGCAGCAACATCACCTAGGAACTTAGCAATGCAAATTCTCAGGTGCTATCCCAGACCCACTGAGTCAGGAACTCCGTGGGTAAGACTCTGCTCAGAGTCTGAGAAATACTGCCTAAGCCTTACACCGAGGGAAAGTTTCCACAGTGTTTCAGGATCAGAGGGTGCCGTCCAGTACTGTAGAAGATGCAATTACCCAGTTTGGCCACACGGTGGCACAATTCTGATGTCCTGACATGTAGAGGTAAGGGGCGCGGCAGGAGCACTGCTAAAGGAAAAGAAAGGCCTCTGCCCGGATACTGGTAGACTCCTGAAAAGTTCAGGAGAATTAGAAAGCCAAGGTAAGCGTTTTGGTAAAAAATTAATGTAAGCCAATCCCAAGGACGAAGTGGAGTTGGTCCAAATAATTCATCTAGAAAGAGAAATGCTGGCCTCTACCAACTGCAAGTTTAAAAATCGCTTTCTTCCAGCGAAAAGGCAGCTCGCTACAGGGTGTAGTTGGTGCAGAAGAAAAAAGATGGGTGGCCCCACCTTCCAGGAGGTAAGTCCAGTGGAATTTGAAAGTCTGACTTTCCAGGTGGGGAACTGAGAGAATGGTGTTTCCTTATCACTCCTGACGCTTCTTTGACTAGGAAACGTCAAGTGCTGAGAGGAAGTTGAGGTCATGAACAGCCCCACCACCATCACGCTTCCCTCTGTTTGACTTCTACCCTAAGTTCTGTAAAAGACAAGAAGTGCTTTCTGGGCCCAGAGCTGCACAGCTGAGAAGGTCATTTTGGGACTGGAAACATAGCAGGGGCCATCTGAAAAGGGGACCACCTACTCCACCTTTAACAGCACCCAGAAGGTAGACTAGAAGCTCCAATGAGCCACTAAGGAGTGGGAGGTGAAAACCCCAGAAGACAGCATGAGGCCACGTCAGGGTGATGAGAAAACTCTAAAACTCCCCCCCAACACACCCACCCACCCATATTACCTGCTATCCTTTTGCTCCACATCTTCTGCTCCCAGGTAATTCCCTGGTGACCCAAATACCCAGGGACTGGGGAGCATGGGAGACTCTGAAGAAGCAATAAGAGCAGAGGCCTAAATGGAAATGGGGACTACAGAAAGTCAACTTGAGCTTCCCTACTCCATTTCCATACTCTGGCCCCAAATATTCCCTTTTAGCGTCCCACTGAGGAGGGGTGAGGTCTGGAAATGGGTCACCCCTGCTCAGCCCCAGATGGCAGTCTCAGGCTTCAGTCCCTGGCCGCCTGGCCGCCCCGTGCAGCTTCCGGTGCGTGATGATGTTTGTCTTCTGACTGAAGCTCTTGCCGCACACCTCGCAGCCGTAGGGCTTCTCGCCGGTGGGGACCCTGCGGTGCGTGAGGACGTAGGAGCGGCTGCCGAAGCTCTTGTCGCCGTCACCGTAGGGGAAGAGGCGCTCGCCCGTGTGCGCCCTCTGGTGGATGATGAGGTGCGAGCTCTGGCTGAAGCTCTTCCCGCAGTCGGGCACTTGTAAGGCTTGTCCCCGGTGTGGACGCGCCGGTGCGCGATGAGGTTGGCGCGGTGGCTGAAACACTTTGGTACAGTCCCCGCACTTTAGGGCCTCTCGTCCGTGTAGGTACGCCGGTGCATGACCAGGTCCTAGCCGTGAGGGCAGCACTTGCCGCAGTCACTGCACCTGCAGGGCCGCTCGCCGGTGTGGACGCGCTGGTGGCGCGCGGAATCCGAGCTGAGGCCAAAGCGCTTCCGGCACAGCGCGCACCAGAAGGTCCGCTCGCAGCTGTGCGTGCGCAGGTGGCGCGTCAGGTCCGAGCTCCAGCTCAGGCGCTGGTTGCATTGCGGACACTGGAATGGCTTCTCGCCGCTGTGGCTGCGCCTGTGACGGTTGAAGTTGTAGCGGTGGCTGAAGCCCTTGCCGCACTGTGGACACTGGTAAGGCTTGGGAAGGTCCGGGGGAGAAAGGGGTTGCCAAGGACAGTCGATGGCAGCTCAGGGAAACAGCTCCTTGTCCTCCAAACTGCACCAGTAGAGAATCTTATCAGAGGGCTCCCGGGAGGCCTCGTCCCCACTGGGCAAGGCTGGAAAAAAAGAGTCCCTGGAGGTCTCCAGCCTCGCAGCCCTCCTTCCGAGGGGTAGGGGTTTCATGTATATCACCTGCTAGGCGGAAAACAGAGGCCAGGTTTAGAGATGGGTGGAAATGGACTGGAGTGCACATCAAGAGAATTGTGCCCTAGTGTTGAGGCTACCATTGACCCATTGGGCAAATCACTCAGCAGTTATAAGACATTTTTCTCATCTGTAAAATGGGGGAGGGAGGGAGGAAATACTTAACTGGTCTATTAGGATGATTAAGTAGCTGCTTAATAAATATTTGCTGAATGGAGCACTTGGCAAAGTAAAGGGATACACAGATTCAAGGGGTCCACAATTACTTCAAACTCAGCGATCTGGCTTCTCACTAGAAACCCAGACAATCCAAAAACAAAATAAACGTAAAGTTATTTCTACTTGGTTATAGTAAGTTTAATTTTTTTTTTCCTTTTTGTCTTTTTTCGTGACCGGCAACGGATTGCAACCCTCAGTGTCACGCCCGTACCGGACCGGGACCGGCAACGGGATCGCAACACTGTTGCGCCCACACCTTGCTCAGCCAGTGAGCGGCCGGTCTGTATGTGGGATCCGAACCCTCGGCGGGAGCGCCACCACGCTCCCAAGCGGCGCACTGTAGCAGTGCTCCACCGGGCCAGCCCAGTAAGTTTAAATTTCTAATTCTGTTTTACACATAATTATTTACAGGGGTTGAGAGGCAGACACTTCCAAAATGGCTGAATGATGCACTCAGCAAATACTCTTTCCAAAATAGCAACAATAAAACTGGACAAACTTGTTAAAAAAACAATCAAGCAAAGACTCTGGAAATTGACTAGAGGCATCGAACAGAGTGAAAAGCATTTATTCACGAATATTTCTCGAACCTCAGCAAGGACAGTGAGAGGCTGGCACATTTTAACCTGGAGCTGTTCCCATCATCTACCCAACTCTATGGCCCC